ATTTAACTTCTGAAGTCTCCAATCAAGCAGCAGGCTGCTGTTCTGCTTGATGAATAAAAGTGAACCCAGTGGTCCCAACTGCACCAAGAGTCCAAGACATGAGCTCCTGTTAGGCACCTGAAGAGACATTGGTCAACCCAAGCTTTCGTTTGGTGGCTGTAGCCACATAGATACATCTTTTATGTCCATAAACAGGAGAGAGAGCTCAAGCAGTACAACTACACCCTTGTTTAAGGGATGCAAAGCTTCTAATTCAACACATTCAGTGGAATGGAAAATACTAAGTGATGCCTTTCCAAGTTGGTTTGGCTACGCTGTTTTAAAGTATTAAGGTAATTTCTCAGCTGTTTGTCATGTGAAAAGACTTACCTTGGGATAATACTAGCAATGTCCCTTTCATCTGTGTTCCTCACCCATGGCTTCAAAAACAGTGCTTTTTGTTTTGTGGGTGTTTTTTTGGTTTGTTTGGTTTCAGTTTTTTTGTTTGTTTTAAATACAAAAAAAAAAAAAGTTTCATTAAATTCATTCCTTGTAATGTGGACACTAAACCAAAGAGGTCAAGCCATGTGCTTAGAAAACCTGTACAAAGAAGAACTATTCCACCAGAGCCTCAGCCCAGGGTTCTAGTGTCCTGTTCCACTCAAACGATTTCATCAAGTAAGGCCATAGACATAGATGACTAAAGGCCCATCTTTGGATGCAGGCCTTCCCCAACCAGAGGAAGCTTAGAATTAAGATGAAAACACACAAAAAAGCCATAGACACACTGACACTTGTGATGTCCACTCATCTTGATGATTATTCTCCCATACAGCTACTAGGTGACAAGTGTACCAGTTCCTGCCTGGTCTCCATCATTTTTATCTTCCTACTTTGTAGCTAGTCTTCGGAAGTGCAAAACCTTTTATACTTTCTGATGGGCTGCCTGCTGTGCAGCGGAGATCCAGTTCAAGCACTCTAAAAAAAAAACGAACCAAATAGATTTTAAAACTGTTGATGTGAGACTTTTTTACTGGCCACTCTCAGGTCACAATGTGCCAGCTGCTGATCAGCAGCTCTTGTGGAAAGCAATTCCGTGTGTGCTACCAGAACAGCACTCAGCGTCCTACAGCTGGAGATTCATCCTTCCTCTCCCTCTTTTCTGCTTTGTTCCATGCCTAGTTATGAGGCTGGCATGTACCTAGGCAGCTCAGCAGTGGAGCTGCTGGTGGTGAATGTCACAGAGCAGTTTACATGCCTTGTAAATGCCTAGTAAAACACGGGGTTTAATGGAAGCGTATTGCTGCCTTTTAGAGCTTCTTCACCTAGTGCTGAATGAGCTGTTGCTGCACTGCCTCTTTAATCAGTTACCACCAAATCTGTGCACATGTGAGAAGGGTTTTAAACATTTCTCCATCCACTTCCAGGCAACTAGCCGACAAGTCTACAATCCTCTTATTATGCCTTTGAAACAAAGTCCATTCACTGTTATCTACAGCATATGTTATCGTAGGGTACTCTGCAGGGCCAGGCTTACAGAACATATCCCTAATGTTTCTCGTACACCAGATATGTGCCAGTTAGACACAGACTGACCAGGCACACACATACTTCTGATGGAATGTATAACAGGATGCTCAGGAAGTTACACTTCCAGCTACACCTGATGCAGAGCTTTGTTTGCAGGATGAAAATACAAGAGATGCTCCATTACTGATATCATGCTAATTGAGGCCCAAGAAATTAATGCAAACCATGTTAACTCTGACAGAAGAGGCTAGAAATTCAACACTCTGCAGGATGCTGTTACCCCACTGTAGGTGTCCTTGCACAGATCGATGGACGGTCCTTCACTCCTGGATTTTATTTACACAGCACAGCCTCAGGGGCAAATTACTTTTATAGAACATGCCAGGTGTAATCCTCTAGATTCTGAATCTTTGAGGTATTTCATTTAGGAGAATACATTTGGTCATACTAATGGGAGTAATTTCAAACAGATTTCCACTTTTAATGATAGTTTCCTTTTTTAAAAACTTATTTTCTGACTTTTCTTACTGAAAAATGTTACTCTCCACACTAACAATGTCAGAATTCAAATAACACTGATCACATAGGAAGTCTTTCTCCCATTTTCATGCGTGTGAGGTATCCATTTATCTCAATAATTACAAAGTATGGTTCAGTCACACAAGTCTGAACAAAATGCATAATCTTAACTAGTATAGGAATATATCTATTACAGGCTTACATTGAGGTTTGTATAGATGGCAGAGTTAGCACATAAACCCTGAGGACCATGAAGAGGTTTAAAAAGCCCCCAGGAAACCTAATTCACTTAGATAATAGCATGAAAGGGGGTAGTACTATGGTCTTATTTGCCACAAATGCTACAAATGCTGTAAAGGAAGAAGCTAATAGGTTGAATTACTTGAAACCAATGCAAACAAAAGACTATTCAGAGTTTGTTCGCTTTTCTCACCTGTCAACAGGAAAAACATTAGGCTAAATTAATATTTTTGTAGATCCTGCAGATCCTAATTTGTTTTGGTCTCTACATGGAGAGAGTATGGCCAGCTTCTTGAAGTGGTATGAAATCTGCTTTGTAGTTCGAGGCCATGAGTTCCCTGAATTTGAGGCTGTGTTTCAGTCTCTTAATTTAACACTAGAAGCTTTGAACAGTTCTAGCCTCCCTGATACTGTTCCTGCTAAAAACAAACCAAAACAAAAACCCCATAACCCAATAACATCACACTGGGATGAACAAAGTCCTAAGGAACACATCTTTGAAGGCAAATTTCCTGAACACTTGCCCTATCAGTTCATGGTTTTTGGGCTCACTATATTTTCTACATTTATTTGCTTGACTTGCTGCCTGCATGTAGTTAGGTAGTTAATAAAAGCACACGTGTCCTTGGAGGCCAGTGTGAACTGACCGACTGTGTCTTTGGTTCAGGTCCATTAAAAAAAATCTGAGCATTAATTAATCACTGACTTGCAAATAGCTTGGAAGAGCTGTTCAGGCTAAATTGGAATGTTCTGCAATTGTTTTTCTTTTGGTCACAAGCATTTCAGTGATATGGAACTTCTCCCCTGCCAGGGTAGGATGTGCATAAATGCAGTCCCTCCTGTGTTAGAGCAAACCTGCCTAGAGACTGCTTCAAGCAGCTCCATTTCTTTTGCTAACTACGAAACTGCACACATGAGGAAGAGCTATCATGAGCAGCACTCTTGACAGAATCCTTCCCTTGAAAAGGAAATAATAAAACCTACCAGGGCAAAATTCCAGTGGACTGTACTACATGGACAAAGAACCCTCTTTACCTGCTGTGTGCCAGGCCAGTCAAAATCAGCTTCTCCTTTTTCACTCAGCTAGGTGAAACCATAACTGTAGAAACCAAGCCTGAGCTTTCCATACATCATCACCAACAAGGATCTCTGTGATCTGAGGCCTGTTTTTTGTGCCGATGGTCACAATGAATGAACTAAGAAAGATATAGCTCTGTCTGCAGAAGACAAGCCAAGCAAATATATAAGGAACTTAGTCCCCACACCTGAAACCTCTGTAATGTGAAGTGAAAACCCAAAATCTTCACGGAAAAGGAAACTAAGCCAGCATGGCCTACAAGTCATGAAGAAAAACATCTTAGGAGGAATCACCATCTCATTTGTATAGGGAGTCCTCCCACCCCTCACTGCAAAAACTCTTTTTTATGAATAAGGAAGACAAATAAGCAGTTGTTATCACAATGAGTCTACTAAGTGAGGAGGAAGATTAAAGGTTAAACTAAGGCAAACATTTTTAAAATGCCAAAATATCAACATAAGAAAACAAATACCTAAAAATAACAGCAATGACAATTGCTTCCTCAGTGGCAAGAAGTTGTGTATATTGCAAAAAGCTATTCCTTGGAAATAGCTAACCTAACTGGGCAAAAAAGAGCTTGCATTCCAAATGCTTAAATCTAATAAGTTACCTTAATATATTCATGCCCCCTTCTTCCCTCAGATTTCACTTTCAGTGGAGAAGCCAAACCAAAAACCCCCAAATGATTAAAAATTACTTTGCCTGCTCCCTGTTTCACACTTAGTCCCACACAGTGTGCACATATGCATAGATGCTGAAGAATTAAGTCTTATGAAAATGTTTCCCTCACTACTCCAAAGCTGTAAACCTTCTTCAACTTCCAAAATGCAATAGAGAGGTAAACCCGCAATCACAGCTAATCTTTCTCCCTTCTACAGTATTTCTAAACCTGTGGAAATTTCAAAAGCTACCAAGATGGAATGACAAAATGAAATAACACACCCAAGCTTGAAGTATGGGCAGTGGTTACTTGATTGAGCACGGTGACAAAGAGAGAAACATAAAGACAGATCATAAGACTAGTCAGAACAATTCTACAAACTGATGATACATTGAGATAGCCAGATGGATATGTTTGTTTTGAGAAATGAGACATTGCTTCTACCTGGGCACTCCAAAACATGAATGACTGTCAGTTTTATTTGCAGAGCTTGCTTTCCATTCCTTTGTCAACTAGTGTTCAAGACCTGGGCCTGTGGCAGCTGCAGAACTTAATGGATCCTTTAGAGCCTTTTGGCTGCAGTCCAAAGGTGGAGAAGACATTTTAAATCAGTACCAAAGATGCACTTTCAACTTGCTATGAAAACAATAATACAAACACAGGGATAACGAGAGAATAAGGAGAGAAATGAAGAAAGAAATGGAAGACCGTGGACTTGAACGGATCACAGCCTCTCCAGGAATAGTTTCTATAATAAGTGTGTGAGACAATCTCCTACAAGAGGGAAATGGCTTATTTGATCTAATATGCCTTTCTCTTCTTGAATTTCCACAGTATGGAGAATCAATATGAGGGAAATTAAAGCATCAGGAGCAGACTCACATTTCCACTTGTGTGTTCCTATCTCAGCAAACTCTTATTGAGATAGAAGTATTTACCTTAAGTGCTCAGCTCACATGTGCTGCATGAGTAGGAAGCATTTCAAAAGGATACATGCTTCTTCTGTGTAAGGGACAGCAGAAGCAGGTCCACCCAAGATGTAGCTGTAGAATGAGACTTCCAGGGTGTAGCAGTAGGATGTATCATTCAACAACCCACCAAGAAAACGCCGGCCTGTCCCTGCTTTCACAGCATCTCTGTTGAACGATGTGCTGGACTGCAGGAGGAAGAACACAGAGACATCAAGGGAGTTACTGACTGAAACAAGGGAAGGGCTAGGAAGGAATCTGTTAAAAAAGAAAACAGTTAAATTCACATTTACAAGATATGAGATTGCACTATTTTCTTAACAAGGCCTGGAAAGGCCATTAATGGAAACACAGTTCTGGCACATAGACTATAAATAAAACCTTGCAGTCTTTGAAATTAACCTCAGTTCACTAGCAAACTAGTGTAAACAAGAATTGGCTATGTGATTTTAATCAGCTTTTCTCCTTCCCTTTTGGATAACACAAAGAAAGCCTACCATATGCATAATTATAAAGTGAACCTTCCAGACCCTTCATTCTCAAAAGTTAAGTTGGACAAGTATTTGAATATTGGATTCCTTCTCTCTGCTGCATTCCTCTGTATCATAACCATCCTCCTCAGTCCCGTACTCTTTTAAGCAACCTAGAAATACAGTGGAAATTTTTGTTTCAGTGAAACTTTCTGACCTAAGACATTTGACAGATTCTTAAATTAGGTCCCACAAATTTCCACTTCACTAACTTAAATGTTAACTGGGTGTTGCTCTCTGGGTGAAAAAATATACTGCACTATTTTACAGCATTAGCAACACAGTATAAAAGACAATATTTTCTGCTATTACTGAAAATCTGGCTTTAAGAACCCTACAACTTTATGACTGTTCATTTAAGGGGTGGAGCAGAGGATTCAGTATTTCCACAAACAAGTTTTAGCTCTCCTTTGAAGACATGACATCGAGAGACTGACTAAAAGGGAGTTCATATTCAGGATTGAAGTCTCCAAGCTTGTTGCTACCTACTAGACAGAGAAATGGATTCTTGATTTCGTTTTGGTTAACAGATGCTATTTACAAACTTCATAACCATCACTCTGAGACAACCTGGGCTCAGCACAAGCTACTGACCAGCACAAAACAAAAATTTAAAACAAAAAAAGCACTTAGTAGATCTAACTTGGATCTGTTGTATAAAAGGCTTTAATATCTCCTGCTTTAAGACTTTTACATTGCCAGTGAAACATAAAGGACCCTTAATGTAGCTTATTTTTCAGACATTGTGCACATGGTGAATTCTCTGAGCTCTCCAGGGCCCTCCTATTGAGACTTAAGGCTGACATCTTCTGTTGTTAACAGAATGTTAGTATGTATCAAGTCCATCTCTTATTAAAAACAAAACCAAAACCTAGATGGAAAAAAACCAAACAAACAAAAAACCAAACCCACAACACACAAGAGGGAAAATAAGATTTCTTTCTTATTTTACAAATTAGGTGCAAAATGTTAAACTTCTCTGGACTGAGAAAATCAGACTAATATTGAAATGAGCAACAATTCCTGATGAATAGTGTACATCAGAAGATATAAAGAATGGAAATACCTGTGGGTTTTTTAACATTCTGAATGTTTTGAAGTGTCTCTCATTATAAAAAGAAAGGCTTTTGAGGTTAATTAGAATAAGATGGAATTGGGTTTCTTATTAGCATTATATACAAGAGTTTTCAAATGCAACTTGATTTTGTGGTAACATAATACTTAGCTTTGTGGTAAATTGGACGCAGAATGTATTCTTCTATGTGCATATCATATAATTTCCTTTGAATTACATGGCAGAAAACTTGACAATATTCTGAATACCTAAGGGACAAGGAGGCAAAGTGCTCATAAGGACTGATGAAGAAATTAATTAATTTGATACATGGGACAAAATACTTAAGGAGGTCTACAAGAGAGAATTTTCTCTGGCTTCCTGCAAAAGAAGCCTTCAAAAGAATACTGAGACCAGAAACCAAGGGAAGATATGTCTTCAGTTAAAATTCAGAAACAGAAATGAAGATCATCATGCTCTGGAGATTACTTCCTAAGTCAAGTAAACATTGATTTCAATGGATAGTGCTTCGTGTTCAAATGAATGCCTGTAGTGGAACTTCTAATGCATGAAAGCATCAGCTGATGAATATGGGTGCATGGAACTAGCTCAAAGAAGACAAAAAATGTGTCAGAAAGTGGTATTGTGGTTTGCGAGCAGAAGCATGACTCTCAAGGGGAATGATCTAATGCTACACCTGCATTTGGCACAGTGAAAACAAGGAAAATGTTGGAGAAGTGATTCAGGGCAGATGTTAGAGACAGAAGTACTCCAGTGATTAGGAGACTTGGTTACTAATACAGAGTACCTATGAAGACTATGGACTCCCATCAGCTAAGTTTAAGAACAAATTGGAGGAGTACCTCCTGAGTATAGTTTGCATCTTTGGGATACAGTTGGACATGAGGTGCTTTTCAGCTCTATTTCCCCTGATTTCAATCAGGCTAGAGGAAGGTTATGACTTGAATTCCTCAAGGATGATTCCTGAGATAAATCTTACATAATATTTTCATCATCACAGGTCTTAGCATGCTAAAGGAGGACCATGCCAGCAAAATTTGCTGAAAACACACTATGGAATGATCATCATTATGGAGGACGTTCTGAATATTGTACAAAAAAAAAAGCAGCAGGATGACTTCGAGGACTGGAGTGATAGTAGTCAGATGAAACTCAGCTGTACAAGTGCCAGGTCATGTACTCAGGGCCTAATAAAAAACAATTTCTGCCATAAACTGAAACTTCATCAGCTGGAAATAGATGAAGAGAGAGTCTGATGTATTACTTCACTGAAATGATTTTTGCTTGCTGGCAGAAAATAGCTCAGAAGTTGGATCTAGTTACTGGCAAAATTATACTTGCCATATTTCAAAAGTGAAGTATAAGTAGCTTAAATAATTTGTGGAAGGCTTTTTATGTGGCCAAAAACAACAACAAAATTTGGATCTTTCCAGTGTTTGAGTTTTTGTAATGCTATTTTGTGTTGTTTGATGTTTTTGGTTTTGTTGGGGGATGGTGTTCCTTTTATTTTCTTTAATAGAAAAGCTCCAGTTTCAGCTGTACAAAATTACTTGAAATGACAATAAAATTAATAAAACCACCTGTTCATTTCTTGGCCAGGTAGTGCTGCAATTCCAGGAATAAAAAGAAGCTGAAACTTCATTTGGGTTCATAAATGTAGATTTTTGGAGGTTAACTTTGTCCTCATTTTGAAAAACAAACAAGCAAACAAACAAAAAACTGGTGGCATAGACCAACGTGATCCCTTGAGTAAAAAGTAGTGTCTCTGATTTGACTCAAGAAGGTTGGGGTAGAGAAAACAGTGTAAAACTTTCAAATATGAACACATGCATGTTTTGAAACAGCAGCTTGCGCTTGGGCTCTAGAGAAAATGGTTTAAGCCAGAATGTGATTTGATATTTTAGACAAAAATAAGAAAATTATGGTTTCAAGAAAATTCAACTCGTGACAAGGAAGGGCAGCAGGTAGTTGCTTGAGTCCAGCCTTTTACTCACCATTTCAAGAAAAATAGAGTGGAGAAATAAACAGACAAAAGTTTGGCTATGAAAAGCCATGTGTTATCATGGCAAAGAACCTTTTTCATGGAAAAGATTTGTGTGTGTGTGTGTGTGTGCATATGACAGGGTGGGGATGGTGCAAGAACACAGGTAAAGTTGTCCATAAGTGAGTCTCTTGTTTTTCTGTGAGAATCTATTGCCCTAAAATCCTTGCAAAGCTCAACTGAAGTAATCATTAGGCTCATACGCTGAACAGGCAAAGCAGAAGACCTAAACAAATATTTATTTCTCCAAGGTTGAATCACATGGGAGTATCAAGAACAGCAAAAAGAATAAAGTCTGGAGGGTGGAAAGAAACACCAAAGACTTTAAATAACGTAAATAAGGATATTTGTATAATATCAACAGTAATCCATTATTAAACCATATAGTTAAATTAAAGCTCACAGAAGGACACTGCTTCCCAGCTTGAGTGAGTAAATTCAGACAACAAATATCTACAGGGTTAGGAGGTGCCAAGCAACAAGAATCCAAAGTTTAAAAAGCAGAGCAAGAAGGGTGAAGAATTTCCCCACTTTCTGGTGGGAAGAAACCCACCAGAAAATTACACCTGGATTTTGCACATACGCTCGGGAGCCTCAAGGTGTGCTGACCTTCTCTCTACATCTCGGGCATTAGTGGTAGCTTCCCCAGGCCTTCCTACCAGATTTAATTCCTCTTCCCCATGCTGTGCTGATTACCTTCTGTATGATTGGTTTCCCCATTGGGAATGACAGCTAATGGACAGGGAGCACAAAGAAATTTGTAAACCAGTTGGACCTTATTCAGAAATTGCAGGAGACAAAGAGATATGTGGAAGGAAATAAGGGGAAAAAAAAAAAAAAAAAAAAAAAAAAAAGAACGCAAATTCTTTCTGGAGCTGTCTCAAAGCAGGAAAAAAAATAATCTTGGCCCTTGGTCAGACCTCCCAAAGTGTCAGAACCCCTGTCTCCAGGGGCAGACTTGTCTCTTGGCTGGTAAGGACACTCTCTACCACAGAGTGTCTCTCCTCAGTGAATTCAACCTCTTGGTAGCTAGCTACAAGCTCAACAGCTTAGCCAGCTCCTGTATGGCTGAGGGACACTCTTGTTTCTCAGCACTGCTCCATCATCCTGCTAGCAACTTCTGGAATGAATGCCTTGGGCAGTCCATATTCACAAAGGAAGGGTAGGTTTTTTACTGACTGCATCTGCATGCCTGTATCAATCTATCACAAGAGTGGCTCCAAAAGACAAAGAGGGAGAACAGCACATTTCTCATGCATCTGAAAATGAAGTTGTCCCAAGTCCACGCTTTGGCATCCTGATGGACTTGGAATCTGAGTGGTTTTGCTTGATAGGAGCTTCCACTACTGGAACCTCATCCTCAGTGTATGTGTGACTTCCCAGGGGAGTTGTCAGCCTACAGCATCAGAAAAAAATCAGGTTGCACAAAAAAGAAAAGTAGGAGGCAAACCCCAGTAAATCTGGATCAGTGGAAGAAAAGATGCTAAACATGGCTGAAATATCAAGCAGGCCCAGTGTTCAGCCATCGACGGATAGAAGATT